TCATATAGTGGCGCGAGCAGCGAGCCGTGAATGGTAGTGACAAATAATAAATAATCATTATAATAATCACAGCAGAATGGCGAAGGGCCAATGACGTGTTTTCCAGAGCGCGTCGTCCAAATTGAAAGTTTGCGAGCCCCCTCCCCGAGCTGTCCGAGGGACCCAAAAGTAGGGGGGGGGGGCGTCCCAGCTCCATTATAAACGGGAGATCCCGACGTGAGCGGCAGACGCAGCCGTGTCACTCGCCACGCTCGTCAACATGAGGTCCCACCTGAGCATCGCCGTGCTGCTGGTAAGCGAGATATTCCGATTTCAACTTTTCGGCTTAGTGGTTTAGGTCATTCCACCATTAAGATAGATTGACGTTATTTAGACAACGAAAAGGAGTTAGTGTGGCTGACCAATGGGGACTCCTTGGACTCCAAATGAAGGTCCAGATCCTTTTGGGACCCCATAATATTTGACCCCCCCCCCTTTCCCCCGAGTGCCCACTTGGTTTTTGAACGGTCCTAGCATGACAACAATGTGGTCTCGATTTTTGAGGGTTCCTCCAAACCTTAGTAAGTGCGCGCTGCATACTGCAACTGTAATGGTCCGTCCATACATCGGGATCTCCCTTTGATCGACGCCAGTCCCGCAAGGTCCACAAGTACACCGCTCCGCATCTCCGAGTTTCTATCTATGCGTCCATAGAATTCAGAAAGCTTTGGTTCCAAAGCTCTGTCTGTCAAGAGGTGCGGTTTTCCCCGTGCGCGGAAACGCTGTGGCGACGAGGAGGGTCGCGAACGACGTCGCGCCGATGTACGCCGGACGCTGAGAGCTCTTCGCTTTCGCGGGATATTTATCCATTAGCAGGGAAGGCACTTAGTGGAAGTCCTTGGGGCCACACACAGAAAAATACAGACCCCACTGGATCATCTAACTCCAGTAACTTGTTATAACATCAACTCAAGCACCTAACTCCTAACTTATTTCACTAGTCCATGAAAGTCAAAATCATATCCTTGCGACGTTCAAAGCAGGAGCGTTTCGAGGTGGGCGCCTAGTTTCCGTTATTCATTTGCAGCTTTTATAAGAACTCTTTTGTGTCCCTAACGTGAAATATACCAGGAGGCTGATTCACGCCGCGCACTTCTGTAGTTATGCTGTACCGCATGCTGGAGTGCGGGCGGGTTGCCTACCCGCTCGGCTCGTAAGGCGCCGTGGACAGGGGCGATAGGCAGGCAAGCCCGCCCGCAGTCGTGCATGCGGTACAGTATACCAACAGAAGTGCGCGGCGTGAATCAGACACCTGGTATGTGCGCGACAGCCAACTTCCACTACTTCCGTTTCACTCGCGAACCTGTACATTCATTACGGCGCCATATGATTATGCTGTCGTCGCTTTAGCAAAGTGTCGAGTGGCGGTTGAGTTGGGCGCTGCTGCGGGCCGCCGGGGCACCACAATGAACGGGAAGGTGACCCCAAAAACCACAACGATAGGAGATCCCGAGGAGATCGCGAGGAGAGGCGGGAGTAGAAGGGTGGCGACGGCTGCGGGGCATAGAGAAATGATGCTGGGTGGTGTGTACTACCAAACGCCGGCGAAAGCTTCACAATGCCCTTGTTATCCCACAAAGGCATGCAGCGCCCTGGCCGTGTCCGCCGTCTACCTGGACGAGCCGGCGCTCGCCGAGCTGGCCGAACGCGAGGGGTACGCGCTCACCCTGCACGCCGTGCAGCGCGCCCGGAGAGAGGCGTCCGAGCGAGACCAGGAGGTGCGTACAACTGGTGTAATCCGACGAGCTGAGGACGCTCCTGAGCTGAGCCCTGAACCCACGCGAGCCTATCTCCCTTCCAGTGCCGCTGCCCACCCCCGGGCCCGCCCCCGTTCCCGGGCGGCGATGATGACGACATGCCGCCGCCGCCGCCGCCGCCACCCGCGTCCGGGCCGGACGCCAGCAGCTCCGAAGAGCAGGGTGGCCGCCCCCGAGGCCCCCCGCGTGGGTGCTGGCCGCCGCCGCCGCCCCCGGGCCAGTGGGGGCCCCACGGGCCGCACCGCCACCACGGGCCGCCGCACCCCCACCGCATGGGCGCCGAGGTGAGACAGCGTCCCACACGGACACACCCCCTGTCACCCCCCGAGGTGAGAGCCCTGAGAGAGCCCCGCGTCCTGCCCGCAGTACCAAGGCCCGCCCTGCAAGCTGCGCCCGCTGTTCCGCGTGCCCGACAAGTTCAACTTCACCGCCAGGGTGGTGTGCTTCGACCGTTGGGAGCGCGACTCGGCCAAGCAGATGGGCATGGCGCCCGAGGACCGCTTCGACGTGGCCAGTGAGTACATACGACACAGCGGCCGCGCCCAGAGCGTTAGCCAGGAGTGGATTCGGGCTAGGAGCCGTCGCCACGCCTTTTGCCGCAGGCGGAAAGTACTTACGCCTACCACTCAGCCGTCGAGAGCTCTGTTTTAAACTCCCTGCTGTACAGTTCTTTACTCTAAACTCCTATTTTTACCTGCAGAGTATAAGCCCACCCAGCGCCGGTCTCTCATGTGGAACAAGGGAGTAAGTTATGGCCGTATCTTTCCTGAGCGTTATTCTGAACTAGTTTGCTGACCATTTTGCTGCGGTACACTGACTAACTCCAGCCTTGCCCCTTTTCGTTGTAGTGTGACATGCAGTGCCACTTCTTGGAGCTCGAATTGGTAAGGGGCGCATGGTGGATAGCAACCACCCCGTAGGTTGAAACACTCCGTACCTCAACTCGCGTCCTCTTGCCTGCGCACAGCTCGCTGCCGACGGCGAGGACGTGACCCTGGACGCGGAGGCGCTGGCGGCGCTGCTCAAGGAGGACGGGGACTCTTCGGACGTGACGGCCGCGGTGGACGCCGCCGTCAAGAGCTGCATGGAGATGGGCGCCGAGATGGTGCACGCCAAGCAGGTCTGCCGGAGCGGCGCCGACGAGGTGCTGTTCTGCCTGCAGCGCACCTTGGAGGAGGTGAGCGGCGGGTCGAGGCTTGGGCAAACGATTCGGAGACACTCGCGACACTCACGCACTCTTTGCTTTCTTCGCAGACGTGTCCGGGCTCCAAGTGGCAAGGACGTAAGTGCAGCGGGGCGGGCGCAGGCCGGACTGTGAGGTGAGGTGTGAGGTAAACAGAGGCAGCCGATAATGACTGAGGATAACCGTCGTTCCAGAGCGCTCGTGCGACGAGGTTGAGGACGCTGCCTCCAAGCTGCGCACCTGCTGGCACCTGCGCCGCATGATGCACCCCCACCCCCACCCTCCGCCGCCACCGTTCTTCGACGGGCGCCGACCACCCTTCATGCGCCCTGGCGGGCCCCCGCGCGGCCCCGGCCCCATCGACGCCGACATGCCCGAGAAGCCCAACGCCATCAGCTCCGAGGACGCGTCTGCAAGCAAGAGCGAGGCGGCATGAGGAGCATACCCCGTGGCGCTGCCAGGAAATCGCCGAAGATGACGAATTTCCGATGAAGACAAACGCGTCGTAAGGGTTCCATGTCATCTCTAGTGAGCCGCCTGAAAGACAGGAAATGTGTGCCACAAAACCCCCTATATGAGCCGGGTCCTTAACCGCGCCTGGTTAGAGATCGACCATGAATCGACATCGAGTCAATATCACTCGATTTTGGCAATACTGGTTGGAGTCTCTCATTTAACATCTTACGCAGACTGTGGAAAATATCAATTCGTTTTTGCCAATATTTTACGTATTTTCTTTTTGTTACCCTGTGTGTACCATGTGAAATAAAAGTTTTGCAACGACGATACAGATCATACAGCTCTTTGTTTCCTGTTGACGTCGACGTCCAACGAACGGCCAGTGTTGTCGGGGAAGCACAACACGGTGCCATTATCGGCACTCACACCATGTTCAGGCGGTCCCTTCAGGCAATTACCTTCCAAATCTCAGTCAAAATTTTAACGTGAAGTGAATTTCGTAGAAGAAATTAACAGGATGCAGGTTTTTAACGAGACGAGTCACGTTTTTCGGGCGACAGATCTTAGGGGCGCGTGTGCAACGTTTTCTAAGCATGCGTGAGCCAAAGTGAATGAGCTGATGGGATGATTGACGTGACAGACAAGCCGGAAGACATTCTGCCGTAAGTCGGGCGGGGCGGGGTGAGTGCGCAATGTCGTCCAACGTCTACCGCGACACGACGCTGGAGCCGTCCAAGGCGCGCCACCTGCAAGCCGTGTGGGACGACAGGGTGAGGGCGCTTGCCCGGAAGACCCCCGCCTTCGACGAGTACCAGATCCAGGCGCTGTACCTCATCTTCCACAAGCTCTGCGAGGCACACGGTAGCGAATGAATCTCAGGCTCGGAACGATCGATAAACGTCACAACGTCGTGATTTTTCACGCCAGCGTTACGTTTACGGAAACTAATGTACTTTTGTAAGGCTCGTTTTTTCGCTCCGAGAGCGCTGTTGCCCTCGCTTTTTTTTAGTTGGTTAAAAAAGTAGAGTACCAGCCATGCAGTGTGCTGTACGGGACGCGGAGCCATCTAGATGCGCTGGACGGCCCTGTCGGGCCTTGCAGCTTCCGCGCCGTCCATAACACATTGCACGGTCCAGCAGACACGTATTCGTGCAGTGTCACGCGCCCACGGGGTCGTGCACCTGGGGGAGGTTGTTAGTTGCGCGTAACCTACTCAGGATTTTACTCAAAACATTTTCCGTGCGGTGGGTCCCCACGCGGGCGGAGATGCGAAAACCAGTCGTTCCCTGCGGACAGCTAAAAGTGTCATAAATACCCCCTCGAAATTTAGTGGGGCCCGCCTCTGGAGCGAGACAGCAAAAAGACGTCCAGCAAGAAAAGTGTTCTAAATGGAGATCATATTCCAACGGTTGCCCACTTTACAAACGAGTTGCCCTTACACGGGGCGTCCCTTCCTTACATGCTTGTTTGCGGGAGGTCATGACATGGCGAGGTCACGCGCCTCACAAGGGAACCCCGCCAAGTGTAAATTCCCGATTTTCATTCTACTTTGGGAAATTGCTGGTCTAAATATGTCATCGAAGGACACGTCAAAGATTTTTGCTTAAATTCATATTTAGGGGTCATTTTGGGTATTTGTTCAAAAAGCTGCTATTTCAATTATTTTTTAAAACTTTCAAGAATGCTTCCTAAGAGGTAACTCGTCAAATTGCGGCCCTTTGGGCGAAAATTTCGTCCGTTTTGCTCTATCTAAAGCCGTTTAGGCGCTACCGCCACGTTTAGGAGGGGAAATGCACGGGAATCACTAGGGCTTAAGAGAAGCGGTTGTAAAAAGCAGTCCCACAAAAAATGTTATAAAACAAAGGTTAAAGAGCTTTCATTTTTCTACAACTTTTGTTTTATAACATTTTTTGTGGGACTGCTTTTTACAACCGCTTCTCTTAAGCCCTAGTGATTCCCGTGCATTTCCCCTCCTAAACGTGGCGGTAGCGCCTAAACGGCTTCAGATAGAGCAAAACGGACGAAATTTTCGCCCAGAGGGCCGCAATTCGACGAGTTACCTTATAGGAAGCTTTCTTGGAAGTTTTAAAAAATAATGGAAATAGCAGCTTTTTGAACAAATACCCAAAATGACCCCTAAATATGAATTTAAGCAAAAATCTTTGATGTGTCCTTCGATGACATATTTAGACCAACAATTTCCCAAAGTAGAATGAAAATCGGGAATTTACACTTGGCGGGGTTCCCTTGTCAGATGTGTTCTCCCAGCATTAGTGATGTTAGGGATTTCAATCTGATTCAGCCGACCGAGACCTACTCGTCACGTTACGCCACGCCTGTAACGCTTGTAACACACCGCCTCCTCTTCTCCCAGAGTGGTGGGGCAGCGGGCTGGGCAAGGACCGCACGGACCGCATGGACCGCGTGGGCTTCCGGGACGCCTGCAGCGCGCTGCTCGACATCCAGGACGGCGCGGCGCTGGACGCGCTCTTCAGCGCCCTGGACCCCAACAACAAGCGCTACCTGACCGCGGCGCGCTGGGTCAAGGGGCTCGCCGCGCTCAAGGTAGGACCGAAGGATAAGGCTAGCAACGCACCGAGCTGCGTGAGCGAGCCGGCGGCGCTAAGCGTGCTGCTCGCCTCGCCTCCAGGGCTCGGACCTGGACAAGGCGCAGCTGTGCTGGAGAGCCTACACCAAGGAGGAGACGCCGGTCCTCACCCGCTCCGACATGAGCTCGCGCACCAAGGCCATGTTCATGGACGTCGGAGTCGACGACTTTGACGGCTTCTGCAAGGTAGACGACCGGCGGCGCGGGGCACGCGTTACCCGCGCTGCCCTCCGCCCGCGAGGTAGGCAACCTATTTGACTCTCGCCCCGCTTCGGCTGCCGCCGCGCAGGAGTTCGTGGACACGATGCTCAAGGGCACCAAGGCAGGCAAGGAGGGCGTGCTGCCGCTGCCCGAGTACCTGGACATCGTGTCGAAGCGGCCACTCCTCACCGAGCTCGTGCAGACCGTGCTGCCGGACGCGGGCGCCCTGGACGCCTTCCTGGCCACCTTCACCCCGCCGCCGCGACAACCTCGCAGGCGGCGGACGACCGCTGGCCCCAGTACAACCAGTGGGTCGACAGCACACTCCCGCCCCCCTCGCTCCCCACCCACTGACCTCTAAACTATGCCTTGGAATACAATTATTTATTTGCGGACAAAAAAAATACACATAAAAGTAGTAAATAAATGTATTATTTTATCAATACCTACAGTCATACAAAAAAGAAAAACACGTACACACGTATCACAAGATTTACAAAATTATTGGAACGCTGTCGTTTTGTCGGAATATCATACATACGAAAAAAAAATATCGTAAATAAATGTTACAAAATGTGATGTCGGGGCTGCTTGATGAAGACGAGTTCATCAATCAAAAACACAGTTTTATGGTAAAGGTACACTGAAGCTATCGTAACGGAGATGTTTTAGCCTCTTATTCTCCAGAAATCCTGACCTGAAGGAAGTCGCGGACCATTATTCCCACACATCCCGGGAATAGCCTGTGGAGGGGGAAAACGCAAATCGGTAAGTGTACTCAAAAGAAAAATTAAAGTTAAAAAATGACGATATTATTTATTTATTACATCTTTTTTTTCTTTGAGATTGAGTTTGGAAGCCCATGATGGCTGACTCGAGGGAATCGTCACTAACCTGATGAACCTGTTGAAGTGGAAGAGCCAGCCGGGCACGGACACCTCGGTCTGGTTGCGGCGCATGGCGGCCACCACCTCCTCGGCGACCACCTTCGGGTTGAGGATGGGCATGAGCCCGTTGAAGCGCACCGTGTGCGACTTGACGAGCCCCGTGGCCACCATGTAGGGGTAGATGGTCGTGAAGCGGACCTTGTCGTCCATCTCGGGGCGCAGGTCGTGCTGCTCCACGGCGAGGGTCTCCATGAAGCCCCGCACGGCGAACTTGGAGGCGCAGTACGGTGCCAGGTTGGTGCAGCCCATCTGGCCGCACATGGAGGACACCGCGACGATGTGGCCGTGCTTGCGCTCGTACATGGAGGGCAGGTAGGCCTGCAGCAGCTGCACAGCACAGGGTGGAGCGTGGCGATCAGTTTCCGTTCGCAGCGCTCCGCGGCTACTTCACAATAGAGACCTTCGGTAGATCTCGAACTCGATCCTCCGCGGGCGGTGAAGAAGACAAAGAGTAATCCAAACCGGAACCAGTAGTCCGCCATATTG